CATAGTTAGATTGACAATACATATTACTTGCAACATGCAACTATTCCATGTGGTACTATGGTATTCTATTGCATCCTTCCGAAACTCGAGATAAAATTGAATTGGCGTGTTTTTATCCGAAATAGCGGGACTTTTGCGTTGTTCATACGTAATTTGCTCGACCAAGAGTTGATTTTCATGGAAACTTGACTGAACATTTGTAACTTACATAATCAATGAGATTTTTCCTACAAAAATCTTCAATTATTCCTGAACCCACAATCTTGACAAAATCCTCTACACCGATGATATCTGAGTGCACAATCATAGATGCATTATATTGATTGATAAATCAATAATGTAGAACTATCGCAAATATATCATCTACTTAGCAATATACGTTAGAATTGATAACATGATTGGTTATAGTTTAATTTGAAAACATGGTTTGATTTGCATCAAGATTGAAAAAAACCTAAGATCTATTAATTCCTATTTTTATTTAAAGTATTACTTTTAGATTATATGTGATCTTGATAATGGTAATGGTAAATAGATCAAGCCCGTAGTACCCAAAGGATCAAAAGGTTGAAAAACACAATACAAACAATCCAACTCCAATCTAGGAGAGAACCAAAAGAACCCCCTAACTAGTGCCCAAAGCACTAGAACGGAAACAAATAATATCTCTAATGTAACAACCTAAATCATAAGGTTCAAGCTGAAACAAAGAATAAAAATTCTCAACAACAACTTTATGAGTCATTCTAATCTCTACATATCTAGTACAAGTAAGAACTACATGCTCTTCATAGTCAACTTTCCTTCCATCACATAGCCTACAAATACATCCACTCCTATCAATGTTCAACCAACGCACTTCTTCAATTCCAAGACTATGAGATCCTATTCTATGCGTAGCAATAATATGACGTAAAGAAGTAGATAACTCCACAAGTAAGTATCCTTGCTCACAATAAACAAGCATAGGATTCACATGAAGTTGATAAAACTTCATTTTGGTGTCTCGTCTACTCCAAATAATGCTGAGAAATTACTCCTTGATACGCTCGCGTAGGGCAATAGGTTGCAAATTCCAATCAATTTCCGTCACATTTCACCTCAAAGACCAAGTCACCACATCTACAAACCACCCCTTCGGACGTGTGGCATGCAAAACTTCAAGAGGAAGTTGAGAAGCATCAAGAGATATCACTCTTTTGACGTAAGTGATAGTCAAAAAGAGAGTTTCAGCCTCAAGAAGTAGACAACATATTTCCGCAAGAAGAATAGCATATGAAGTTTGGATACTCACACCCAATTCTTCTTGTAAGAAGATCTTTTTGCACCCTCTTCAAACGCTACCAACCTGTATTCTTACAACCAAGACCCCACACTTGTGTTCCATATAAGATAACGGCAAACACTAAGCTCCTGAATAGGAATTTTCTAAGACTCCAAGACACTAGATGAGCTACTCTACACCTATTTAGCAATGAATATAGAGCTTTGAAACCAGCTTCTACCCTCTTTTGCACACAAAGTGCCCAACTATAATCATAGGAGAAATCAATACCTAAATATTTATAACTCTTCACTTGTTACCATTCTAATTCTTTGTAAAAGAAAGAAAACTTGGATCTAATGCCCACAAGAATGACTTTGGACTTCTCTAAATCAACCTCTATCTAATTTTGAGCACAAAAGCTAGCCAAAGTGTCAAGGTGTTTCTGTAAACTAATGGTATCACGGGCTAATATGATATCATTTGCATGCAAAGAGCTTTGATGACAAAGCTTACATGTTTGACATCTTCACTATCATACTACTCTAACCACTTTTCTATATCATCCATGAAAACTCCAAAGAGAGTATGGGAGAGAGTACAACCTTGAATTAGTTTAATGGTACTCAAAATCTCTTCGGTTTGAGAAGTGTTGATCTTGGCCCGAACGGAGTGATATAATGTGGACACCGATGCTAAAAGATCTTATGGTACTCCAATGGTTTGCAATCTTTGCCATAAAAGCTAAGGAATTACCATTTCAAAAGCTTTCTTGAAATCAATGAAGGCACAAAACAAAGCTTTTTCCATTACCCTTGAATAAGGAATAAAATCTTTTAAATTACAATAAATGCATTAAATGTTTAGACTAAAATTTTGAATTACATAAATATCTTAACACTTGATAGGATTTCATATGGAAGATTTCAACGATGCAAACAACATACTTTCATGATGAATTTTTTGGAATTTTGGTGTGTCACATTTTTATTTATTAAATAAGAAAAGATAGAACAAATTCAATCTAGTTTCAATAACTGAAGTCTAAGAGCTAGAGTAATAACTTAATTTATTTTTATGACAGAGACAAAAATAGATACTTTTATATCCTATGTACTATGTGAAGCTTAGAAAAGGTAAATCTTTTTAATATAAGATAAAAAATGCATTAATCTCAGATATTATAACGTTTGATATAAAACAAAAAAATTTAATTCAAATGTAAATTATTCTTTCTCTTATCAATTAATATATGAAAATAATAAGATTGCCTCATGGATATACATGCTTCATACTGAATTGTATTAAAATATCCATCACTTTCGAATGGACTGTATATTCATTACTTAAGGTCGAAATACTTGCTTGCTTCTTTCCTTTTAGTTTTTAGAGTTACTCTCAATTATGGGGTGCAATGGCTTTCGAGTCCTCGCCATTTACATCCGATTGATCCGGAGGACTCAAACTTTTTTGAAGAAATTTTAGATGCTTGCTCGAATGTAAACACTCCGCAAGCAGATAAGAATAACGTCTAAAATCAACTGTAAGACGAATATCTCAATTGGGTGTGCAATTATTTTTTTACAGTACACAGAATCCATACTTTGAGTACTTCATTGTTCGACCATGTCATGCCGAGAATCCAAAAGTGAAGTCAAACTTCCAACTCGATAAATCGAAACGTTTTCATAAGCATCAACTTTGCTTCCTTGGCTTCGGTCAAGCGCGTGGCCGCAGGCTTCATCAGTTTTCCCTTAAGATTCAGAGAATCAGAGTGTGTAGCTTGCTACACAAGCAGAGTACGCACTAAAGGCTCCGGTTCAAAGTGTAAGCGGGAGACTGCTGTACTCCTTTTTCATGTAATTCTCTTCTAGCTGCACTACAACTGAAGGCATCACAAGTGAGAACATAGTTCCTTTTAGAAAAGTGATCATTCGAAGTTCTCATAATGAAGGAATAGAGGATTTGCGACTTGCTCTACCGAAAACCTTTAGGAAACAACTCCAAGTATGTCTCAACAAAGAGTATTCTAAGTTTGATCAGAAGCTGAAGTAACTCAGCGTCGACTTCTGTCATACAAGTTTAAATCTGAAGAGTAAACTGCGATACGCGGAAACTCCACTGGATACTGGAAACAAACTCCACTCTACATCAAGAAGGGAGAGTATGCTTTCAGTATATATTTATACACTGAAAGCAAATCAGAAATGAGAATAGCATTACAAGAAATTTCTCTCGTCACTTGCCTGCTCTCTGACCGAGTAATGTATTAGAGTGCCATATCGTTATATGGGTTTTTTGAGTAAACATATGTATATGAGTGATTGACATAACTATGTACGCCAACAGTACACCCGCAAGTCTAGGGAAGGAAGCTCCGAAACTAGAGAACGTTCCAACAAGTCGAGGGGCAGGCCACAGAGACTTCAGCCTATAGACAGCAGCAACATCATCATCAGAGTGTTACATATCTTTCGAAATCAACGCCAAGCTCAACATCTTCTGTAAACACGTATAAGCCTCTGACGGTAGCTGACATTTGGGTTCTTCCCGCTATTCAGAGACAGACATGTAATCATCGGTGAACTGTAGAGTTCAAGGACCTCCATCAAGTAGACGGGAAGGTTTATACACTATCATGTAAGTCAAAGGACCTACGACTCTTGTACGCTGTCATGAAGATAGTATTAGTGTCCGAGCACGCTCTTCAAGCACCGTGTCACGCTCACCAAGTGTTTCTGAGTAAGATGATGCTCTTTACTGTACTCTCCATATGGGTATGTGTTCTTCTACAAAATGCGACACATGCAATTAACAGCATGAGCATGCTTTCTAACAAGTTGTCATGTTCAATGTTTCCCATAGCCACGACGTCCTCCCTCGATTTCATAATTGATGCAGATGTGACGGCTGATAGGGGCGGTGTGGTCAACAGGTGCATGTCCTAGAGGTTGTTGTCCTCAGGTGTCAAGGATTCTGAACAGAAGATTATGGAGAATATGGAGCATAGAAATCTTTGACCTCAATTGACGGAGGGATTGTTTCTTGCTACATACGATTTACTCTTGTCGAAGTTGTTCTTGACAGTGTCTGACCACGGTAAGTTTGAACACGAGGACGAAGGATGCCATGACCTTCAAAGTACAATACAGGTGTATGAAGCTCCTCCTCTGCGCTTTTTCACTGACGGATTAGATGAAAGCGCACCAGAGCTGGTGCAGAGGTTTCGCCATAGGAGGTACAAAATGTATGTAAACACCTCAGGTGAAATCGAGTCGGGACCGGATTCGCGAAAGTTCAACCATTGATTCCAGTTCCAATGTGCAAACGAGACGACTATAACAGGCTTTACCCCGGAAAAAACATGACATATGTTTCCACAACCCTCTCACTGGTAGCAATCTATCACTTCCTTACCACTTTCCCTAGGTAAAATATTGGTGTAAGATTACATGCACCTAATTTCTTCTCTCGCCTATTAATTTGGCTATCATTCGAGGTAGTCTCTCGTCCTCCATTACAATCGTTCCCCTCGTACAGACTCTTGTTCATTCATTTTCTATTCATCATTTCTCTCTTAAGTTACTCATTCCTTTCGTCTATGTTCAAACTCGGCATGCTTTACTCTTGGTTCGGTGTTCAAATTTTGCGCGCTGTCAACCTCTCTACTAAAGGTTTCGTGACTCAGCCTACGGGTGGATTGCCTACAAATATCGACAACTTGTCTCTTACCCGATCTCCTTTCAACACTTGATACATTACATCATTTAGCAGGTTAGCTGAATTTCATATATGAGAAAGCTTGCCTCTTCGTCGATTGCATTTGTCTGCCTTGGTCCACACACTTGGCTTATTCACAGAAGACGATTAAAACATCTCACACATGTCCAATTGGGTGGAGGAATCTGGAAAGAGCGGCTTCGCAGTGTAAATATCAGTAGTTAAAACTACAGTCGTGAAGAGGGTCTCTCCATCAATGAGGATGAGAAAAAATGCCTACTATACATAGAAATTCGCTTGTCATTGGCACAAATGCGTACCTCGAGATCCTTCACAACACTTTTACTGTATGGACTAGCAAGCTTACGCTGAGGCTTGAACCTGATAGAGATCGGCAGCACCGTGACTCACAGGTATCCTCACTCCGCGTACTACAGGGGGCGTAACTCTTTCTTGATTACTACCAGCCCTCCAGGAGCGGTCTTTCTTCCTTGCGGCCTTTTTATGCATTTTATGTGGAGCTGTAACAACCTTCTTCTTGCCCTTTGTTTGTCTAAGATCACTTCCCAAACTAGAGTCAAGATCATCAAATACCCTGTCTAAGTTAGCTCCTGAAGTATCAACCACACCTAAAAGCTTTGATTCTCGATCTGCTGCCTGACTCGCTTCAGAAGGCGAAGACGACCTCTGTCCTTCACCTTCGTCGAGTTTTAAACCCTTCAACGACTGGGAGCTAACCCCAATCTCTGAATCTGATTCTTCCTCTTCGTCGACGTCACTTCCGGCTTCCTCGTCTTCGTCCTCGTCTTCGTCTTCGTACTCACCTTCAGAGCTTCCGTCTGATTCAACGTCTACTTCCGGTTGTGATACACTCTTTCCTAATTGCTTTGGCTTGCTCTTGCCCTTCCCACTGGAACCGGCCTCTTCGGGAGGAGGTATACAGTACGGAAGCTTGCCACTCAGATAGTCTTTCAATATCAGCCTAGCAGCCCGCGTTTCATCCGGCAGACCGCTGTTAGCAAAATATCCCCGCGAAACGGCATACACGAAAAGCAACTCTGCTGCAGTCGGAGGTCGGTCTTGAGGTTCATACAACTTCGGCTCAGGAAGTGAGATCCCATAGATCTTTTGTAGGACTGACTTGGGCACAACGTCACAAACGACTTGGACGGGTCCTCTATGATCAGTCAGCTTGTCGATAGGCAAAACCCCGCATGCCACCATCTCTGCTTTTGAGGTTGTAAAGGAAGGGAAGACCAGACCTGGGCAATCACACAACATGAGCTTCTCGTTGATGATAAGAGTTTGAAAATGCTTGGTTTTTCCTGGGGTCGAAGTTACTCCAGTCTTCTTTTCTCCCACTAAGGCATTGATGGTGGAACTCTTTCCCACATTGGGATATCCGACAAATCCTACCACGACCCTTCCTGAGTGTCCAGTCTTCACAGCGACCTGGGGAGCTCTTTTGCCTTCCGCACTCTCTGATCCTTCACTCTTCTGAAGAGAACCCTCTCCTTCAACGTGTTGCGCCAAGGCGGACCTAGAGGCGATTTTCCTCAGCTCCACAATGGCCTCTGCTTCTTTCTGCAGCCTTTCTAGAAGCTCTTCTCTCTCATATACATGGGTGTCCTCATTATCATCAATGATTTCTTCCTGACTGTAGAGGTTGACGTCTGTAGGCAAGGGCTGACCTTTACCATCAAGTTCTGCTGAGGCGATCTTCGCAGACCAAAACAAAAATGGTATCCCTTGAGCCTTCAAATACGTGGCCCATTTTTGCCTGCATGAACACACCAAGACAGAGCTCAAGTTCAATTGAAAAATATGAATAGGGCACATAAACTTCATACAGCTTCACTTCGGTTCCAAAAACACATTTGATCCAACAACGAAACAATACCATCTATATTATGAAGTGTTAATATTATTCTATAGCTGAAGTTGTAGAATAATGTGATAAACTGTCACCAGATAAGGTGGTAGAATAACCACCTTGAAGAGGCTGTTAACAAGTCTGCTTTGTTGAGAAGTAACATGACTTTCTTGTTCGGGTCGATTTCGCGAGCATAGTTCTGAAGCAAGAAAACTGAAACGATAAGAACGGTGTAGCAGAACTTGTCCACCAGGGTCAAACGAAAGTGCTGAAAAGAATAAGAGACATTTATCGGTCCATACAGGCTATCGCGGGCTAACTTTCATTGTGCTACGTACCTCAAGATCGGCACATCGATAAAAGAGCGGGTTTCGCGAATCGACAACGACTACAACCTTCAAAACAGAACCAAAGGAGCCGACGTGTCAACTACTGATTTTTATCGCCCTTCAAATTCGGGGGGATTGGTTCGGAAAACGCAGAAGGTTAAAAACGTCAGCCCTAAACACCTTGCATAGTAGTTAAGATCATGTACTTATTAGTAGGGATGAAAGAATGAGAACGAAACTGTAGGAACTAGTACTTCTCGCCATACATCCTGCAATGATACAGAAATCCTTCTGTGGTGTTGGAACTTTCATGCGAACTCGACCCCTTCCCGGCCTTATTGTAAGAATCCTGGACCTTTTCGTAAGCACGCCGGGCGACCTTACCTTCCGACTTCCCTATTTTGGCGTCCTAGTCAACTATAACTTTCTCCGCTAACGTCGTGGACCGAAACATAATTGCAAGGTGACGTACCAAGTCACTGCGCTCCAAGACCCTCCAAAGTTGCCTCCAAATGTCGATATTTTTTTCGAATGGTGTGATGATTAGTTTCTCATTATCCTCGAGCCTGTTGATATGTAAACCAAAATCAAAAGACTTACAACATTCGGAGTCATCGGCTCAAAGCTGCACATGTACAAAAGGGAAGTTTCGAATTTCGGCAAGACCAACCAGGCACAACACCAAAGATTACAATTTCCGTATTTTATTGTCCAAACTCGATAATCGTCCTAGCTCTCCAGGGGCAAAGACTTACCTGGCTAGTCCTCGACGCCACGTCAAAAAAGCTTTTCGCTCATGAGCATCCAATTCATCTGCTGTCATACCGCTGTTCCATTCGGGTCTGCCATGATAGAGTATTTTACAACTAGTAAGAATCTTTCCACCCGACTAAATATATCTATAAAAAAGCAGATACTGTCAGTGAACGAGTCAGGCTACTAGTCATTGTACTGAAGGATTTCGTCAGGCTGAAATTGATACCTTCTGGGAACGGTCAAATTCGCTCTGTACATGGCCTCCTCAGTCTCCCGAACCTCCCTTCTCCCTTCGAAAGTGAGACTAGTGCTGGCTTCCTCGGCTTCCCTGAAATGCGTGGTTGGACAAGCAATGTAAGTTACGAATCACAAACAACTGATTTGGCAAGATTTCTCAGGCGGTGAGGTTTCGCAAGGGGAAGGAAACATCGACGCCCCAGTCTACCTTTCAACAAAGATCACCAACGGATGTAAGCTGCATTTATGATTGACGGCTCCATGGAGGTAGCGAAGGTCGCTGTTTTGCAGTCGTTCGAGCAAATGGTAAGGGGACTTTTGAGTACTATCAAGATACCAAACCTGGATACCTTGATAATACCTCACCGTCTTAGAGGCTTCGAATTCCTCTCCTAGGTCTTATATAACACGTGCAATTCATCGCTGAACTCCCAAACTAACCACTATCGCGGAGAGTGGCATACCTTTGTGGGTAATGACACCTTTCTATGTGAAACAAAATTATTACTTTTTCAGATTGGCTAGGCATAAAAATTTTGCAAGATTCTCATAATTTTTTTAAAAATTAGACCTCCGCTAAGAGAAACATGCTGTCGTCTCCTCAAGTAAATTAACAAAGATAAACACAAATGTTTCCAGAGATGGCAGACTGCCTACACTCTCATGCGGCTGGTCTATCTGAAACGCGATGTCAAAAGCCCTGTATGTCTAAACTTAAGTCGAACTCATGAACGTGTTCTCCAGGTAGAGACGTCGGTACTGCGTTTCAGATCGAAATAACAGCTCATCTGATATGTGAAGAAGAGCTCCAGCATACGATATCACCATCATTTGCAGGAATATTTGACCAAAACATTGAAGGCAATGCTTCATAATTGAAAGGATTGGAATTTATCTTCCTCCTTACAATGTCACTGCTATAGACGAACGAAACCTAATTGATTCCTTGCTCGTCAACTTCGTTTTGCTACTTATCAATAGGCTTTCCTTATCCACATATCACACAGGCTTATTTTCGAAAGGAAAACCCTTCTACATACAAAGCCTCGCTTGAACCCTAAACCTCTGTCCACAACCTCTGTACATGAATTCAGGGTTTAAATCGGCAGTGAAGACACTTAGAAATCAGAAATCATACAAACCAGCAAAGAGATAAAACTCACGCAGAGATCAGAAGCTCGGGAAGAGGATTATTTGCTGAAAAGATGCGACCAGCGAGCTCAGCCTGCTCCATGACCTCATCCAGGTCACGCACCTCCATCACGGATTCCATCACAGTCTTTATACCCTTGCCCTTGGCCCTCATCTCATCACCCTCGACCTTCCGCTTATTCAACAACGCCAACCCGGGCCCATAGGGCGCCTTCGTTTTCTTTCTCCAACCCATTGCAGTACCAGAAAATCGATGCACAAAATTTCTGGTTCCTCAACGATCCTCGTACACGTCCGTCCCCTACAGCGTAAGAATCTGAACAAGCTCGTCCAAATCGAAATTGAGACTTCCCAAGTGCACACAGAAGGTGACCAATTGCTTGTGAATCGAAGGAGATGCCGAACGAAGGTAACGAATTATGAGCCGATGAATTTGCCCTCGCCCTCTGTCTCCCGGAGCTGCGTTCGTCCGCACTCTCCTTCCTCACTTCGGTCCCGGTTTGCGTCACAGTAGGTTGCCAAGTCACGTGCTTCGAACTCGGTTGTCGTCAGCCACGGTAAACCCTAAAACCCGAACCCCTCACCTCCCTTTGCTCGGCATGTACAGTACAGGGAATCCTGCAGGGGAAACTTCACAGACATCTTCGGGCTATTTAGCTTTCACAGCGAGATTCCACATTCCATGGCATTTCATATTTCAGAGAGGTATGTGTCATGTCCACTCCATTCCATTAAGGTTTTGTTTAAGCCATGGCACAACTTTATTTCTCTATTGTTTTATGCATTCCCTTGAATCTAATAAACGTGTAGAATTCAGGCTAAGTCACCACTACTGTCTAGATTTCGCATAGAGTTGACGAAATATTGCAAAATCTTCATTTTTAATTTAAGTGCTCTAAAGTTGTAGTTTCTAATTTGGCAATAGTAAGTAAGGTTTCAAACGTTGATACAAAAGGAAGTAAAGATTCACGCCTTTAGTAGTGAAATTCGAAATAATTGGGGTGAGTTTTTAGAAAATATCCAGTTCCTGTCTTGTACAGAAAGTAGTATATGTCTGCACTATATTTTATTTTCCATGTCAATCATTTTGATTTTATGTGAGACGCAAAGATTAGATCTGATGTTCATGAATCAGATCTGATTAGGCTCAATTAGCAAGGTTTTCTTTTCCTAGGTGGGCCAATGTTATCTATGTCTTCCCATCTGTATGTTATTTAGTGTGAACTCTTTCCTGGTGATTCTCTGTTCTCTGAGTCCTGAATATGTAAAGTGAACCGTTTTATGCATCTCAAATGTTCTCTTCGAAGGTGCGTACTCTGAAGATTGAGGAACGACGTTTGACTTATTTTGACTTGACCGGAGTCTAGAATGATCAGATACACTGCTCTGTACTACGTCACTAAAGTACAGAGTGTGCGTCATCACCACAGTAGAAAGTCCACATCAATACCATGGTACAACTGAGTGGTCAGACAACAGGGTGACCGAGAAATCACAAGCCTTGACAAGGGACCAACTTGTTGTTCTTAACCATGTCCCAATTCTCTCCACGTTCATTCCATCAGGAGTCCAGATGTGGGTATTATTGCAGCTTTATCACTTTGCATATGAAATCGTGGATGACTTCACATAAGGCTTCTTTTTTTCTTCTTTCCACAAGAGTATCTGCATTATATAAAATATATCTTGGACATAGATAGGCCTCAGCTAGATTTTGGAGATTCCAAGCATTGGATTAGGTTACGCAGCGAGTGTATTCTGTATTAGACACAGAAATTGAGAATCGGGTTTAGCCACATGATGCTTTTGATTTGGCTTCTAGTTAGCCCAAAAGACTAAAAGATGACAATGAAAAACTAATGAACCCTTTCAATCAAATTCTTAAAATTCTCATATATTTATTTTTTTATTGTGAATCCTCACATAAATCAGGAGTTTTTATTCAGTGCAGGAGTGATATCCCATAAGAATATCTTTTTAAAAATGTATTATTGAAGACATAGTAAATAATTACCTTTTGATGACTGATCATGAACCCTTGTGATAATTATTTTGGCTATGTATTCAGTACTTAACGTAAATGATGCACAGATTATAGACCATTTAGATCACATGAGACATCTATTGTTTGTTTCATAATAGAGTTTCATTTCATATGTCTAAAAGTGAAGATTATTATGTGAGCAGCTTGAAATTTTTTGAACATCACTCATCTTCAGCTTTCACATCAATGTATGACATTGACAAACGACTTATGCAAGAACTTTGATGATATTGTTTGGTGTTTAAGAGTGGAACTGTGTCTCCAATTATGTTTTCCGTGCACATGAACTTCTTTCAATAGAAGGTCTCCATGTGGTGTTTGAATCTTTTTTACATAATTGATGTATATCCATCTATCTTCTTTGCATGGTTTGTCCTCGCAATGATATAGAGCATGAAATGCTTTAAACTTGAGCATTTTATTTATAAAGAAGATATGTTTTGTACCTAGAGTCACGAAATTAGCTCCTAACTTTTACCTTTTTCTAACTAACTAAACAAGGGACTATATTCCACATACATTCCGACACTCACATAAAGGGTATCAAGCTCTCCTAGTTGAATTGGAAATTATGCTTGCTCTTGCTCCAAGAAGGATGCATGCTTTTAAATCTTGACTTGTCCATATATCAGGTCCTTTGACTTGCATAAGCTAATATTTTAACATTCATGATGAGGTTCCAATGCTATTATATCATGTTCTTAGTTATGGTGCAAATTGATGCATGACTCAATGATGAATGAGTGGCAAGTTAAGACAAACATTTACCTCGTTAAGAAATAACGAACTTAGTGTTGCGAAGTTGAAGGTTACCATTATACGTGTGACATAATTAATCCTTCACAATCTTATGATATAGATGGAAGTGGTATATGTGGATCATAATATTACTATCCATCTATCCAAGATATCCATCTATCCAAGATACGGAGTAGTCTTTTATGAAGTCTATGTACATGAAAATGGGAGAGACTATCATACAAGGCCGCATGGATGCTACTATCTGAAAAGATTTTTGTGTAATCAGTAGAATAATCTTAGACAACATATATCCATTTTGGTTAGAGATCGCGGAATACTTAAGGTTGATTGTATGAACTTTATCGGGCTCATTACATGACCTAGCTTTGATGATGTACTGTCATTGACGTAGAAAGAAACATTGAAGAATAAAAGCCCTTCGATGTAAATCAAGTTACACTCTGGGTTATCCAATTAAATGTACAAGCCTTCACAGTACGATACATTAGGTGCAAGTTGTACCTACCCCAAGTAGCAAATATGGCTTGATCCACGTAGGACTGGACTCGGACCCCTTTTGTTAGTGTCCTGTGTGTGGCACTTTATTGCAGAGAATCCATAAATGTGCCACGTGATGCCACGTGGTGGGCTGGTGACTGAGAAGCTTGCTGGGCGTGGTACCAGGGCGGTCCTGCTTCAGCTTCCAGGCAAACAAAAGCGCCAAATCAGAAGAACTTCATCATTTCTGGCACCTGCGTCCGGTCATCCCTCGAGCTGGAGTTGTCGTTGCTGATTGTCAAACCGACCATTTTGCTGCTGCTGCGATGTCCGTGCTGCGAACCACCATGCGTCTTCTACGCTCAACTCCGCCCTTCTGTACTTCTTGTAACACTCCCTGTCGCTCACTGCCAGTTGATGCAATCGCTTCGTGTAATCTCCTAGCGCCCTGGTCACTGCTGTTCTGAACTCCAATGAATGTTATTTGGCTGATTTTGGCTTTTTTTCCTCTGGTTGGAAAAGAATTCTAGTCGAATTTTGAATAAGGTCTGGGTTTCCTGTAGTTTTATGTCTTTTACTCTTCAGATTGTTTTATAGTGCAAATCCAGGGAATTTAAGACATATCGTTATCGAAAACGTTCAGTCTCTTCTGGCAATTCTAAAGCTCAGCTGGGTATGTTACGATCCTGCCCATTAGTTCACTACGATATCATCGTCGAACGAAGTTGTTTTTCTCTTGATCGGATTCATTGCGAATCCGTTCTGTGGAAAACATCAGTTTACATAAATAAGAAGAATTTCCTTTTGGGAGCTCCAAGTATTAAATTTAAGCTGAATGTGAATGTTGTGTGCGATGATAATTTAACCGAAGACTGTCGTTCATCTGAATGGAAAGCTACGTGGTTTGTGTACAATTTAACACTGGAGAATTTTTGGGAATCTGTAGGGATCTTCGTCGACGACCAAAGTCAGATAAAGTGTTCTTTGTCAGTCAGGTCTCAATGGAAACTCTCATACTGATCTTGAAAACGTATGTGACAGCTGGACTACGAGGTGAACTTGCTGCTACAAAAACTTTTTCTCATTCGAAGCGCTTCATTCTTACCAGCGTGAAGTGTGGATCAGCTGGAGTGCGCATCCATGAGAACTTCATCCCAGCTACAAGCTGGAATATCAAAACTTGTCGCAGATTTCATCCAAGCAGATGCCAAGCTTATGCTGATCAGGATGTGAATCAGGGGACCAAACTTCACGAGAAACTGGCCGAAAAAAACTACGACTCTATAGACGTGGACTTGGTAGAAAATGGGACGGTGGGAGTGATATATCTGGATAGACAGAAGGCTTTGAATGCTCTATCTGAAGCGTTAATGAATGAGGTGGTTGATGCGTGCCAAACGTTTGAAAGCATAGAAGAGGTGAGTGAGAAATGGTACTCAGTAGATCAGGAGAATGGGATCTTAAGACCGCAGGCGCTGTTAAGTTGAGTGGTTCGAAAGGCAACGCCGAGATGTGATTACAGTAAATTGTTCAAATACAGGCAACGGCAAAAGTTCCTAGTAGAACTCTGCTTTTTCAGTTTCAGAAGTAGGGCACTCAAAGAAGTGTCGGGACAAATGCATGAGGGTTTGATACGACAAATGCATGAGGGTTTGATAACTCCAGCTGACCAACATTGTTACTTTCGCTAGAACTACATTATACTCGTCTTTGGCAACACATGGTTACTGATATGGCTGAGCTGGGTGTTGGCAGGTCGGAGCTATAGTAATTACAGGCAAAGGCAAAGCCTTCGCGGCGGGAGCTGACATTAAAGAAATGAAGGACAAAACATTCGAGGATGCACACAAAAGTCGATTATTTTCCCACTGGAATGCTGTTGCTGCATTAAGAAAACCCACCATCGCTGCAGTTAATGGGTTAATTTCTCCACCATATGCAAGGCTTATTTAACTTTGTACTAAACACGCCGACTATTCAATGTTACGGAATCAGTGCTCAAGACAAAACTATTTTCTCTGCTTGGGTAGAAAGTTTGAACTTCTAATAACTGTTAAAACCTTGAGCCGTGAAACGTAAGTGCCTGTAACGCATGTCTTCAGCCATAACTCTATTTTTCAATCAGCCAACTACTCTCGGTTGAGTGTTACCATGTGTGACTGTCTGAGCTGCACGTATGGAGAGTGCTAGAAGAGTTAGAGTTCAGCAGATCCAACTTGAAGATTTCGTGATATCACCTCATCTACCCTCTTCAAAGTCTTTGTAAAAAGCAGATGTTTCTAGTGGAGTTTGTGAACTCTGTCGCTGGATGCTTAACCTTGACATTGAAGAAGCGTATGCAGTGGAAAGCGGAATACTAAACACACGTAATTTCTTTGCTGTATAGGTTTGCTCTCGGAGGGGGTTGTGAACTAGCTATGGCGTGCGATATAATCCTTGCTGGGGAAAAAGCTCTATTTGGACAACCGGAAGTGAAACTGGGTGTTATTCCTGGCATTGGAGGAACTCAACGTCTCATTCGAGAAGTGGGGAAGTCTAGGGCTATGGAGATGATTTTGACAGGCAAAGCCTTCATGAATGCTGAAGAAGCTGCTCAAAGAGGATTAGTAAGCCGCGTGGTGAGTATTCTATGCTGTCTACAATTTTCTAACAGAAACTAGATCGTACTATAGTTGTTAGTGTGAGTCTCGAAACTTGTGGCAATGTGTTCCAAGAAAATCTCAGTCATTGCATTCTTATCGTGATCGAATGCTTTTTCTTCTGTTTAGAGCGCTACTTTACTCATGGTAAGTACTATTAGCTGCACTAAAGATTCTAGACTCTTGACATGGGAGAATGAAGAGAATACACTCCAAAAGATTTGTGCTTTAGAGACAAAACAGTGACAATTGACCTGGAGTTGTTCTTATCCACTTGCTAAAAGTGGTAACTTGACACAGGTAGGGTTTACTAGTAAGGTATTATGTATTACGATACCGAAGAGTATCAATGTGAAGCCTCACTTTATTGAAGAAAGTTCACCATGTTGATCCTTGAACAGGTTCCTGGAGACAATGAAACTTTGGTTGCAGAGGCCATTAAGGTCGCGAAGAGCATTGCTGAATTGTCGAGACCAACAATCGCGATGGCCAAAGAAGCTGTCAATGCAGCCTACGAACTAGGACTCTCAGAAGGAATCAAACGCGAGCATTCGTTATTTTGCGCTACTTTTGCTTTGGAAGATCAGAAAGAAGGAATGGCAGCGTTTGCTGAGAAACGAGATCCTCAGTTTAAACACAAATAAATGAGAGGTAAGAAGGTCACTCCCACCTGTTCATCACAGAGTGCATGGACTGGGCTGGAACAGCTATTTGGTCTACAGTAAGTGACGGAAGACTGAAGTGCCTTGCTCGCTCCACGTTGACACAAACAATTCAGTGCAGTTCTTGGATTTTAAGAGTAGTTCAGCTCTAAAACTTGGTCAGTTAAACTCACTCCAAAAACAGAGGAGGAAGTTTTGAAGGTTTAGTTTGTCGGCAACAGGAAGAAACGGACCTCGTTTATGGACCAAGCTTTTAGTGCACTAGTGTGTGATATGTAACTTCTGTACATTCTAAGTCCGTTGGTCCAATGAGGCCTCCCTCAGAATATTAAAGTCTCGATTTACTCTTCATTTGGCAATAAAACCTTGTGAGAAATTCCAATTTAATTCCACCGTGAACTTGTATGACTCGTTGGCCGGCACTCAGGAAATCAAAGCTGGTTGAGCTGTGAACCTGAAAGGATGACTGTTATAACATTCGAAAAGGTCGTAGTTGTCATCGGTGCTGGCACGGTCTTAAAGGTGATCGTGCAGCTTCACAAACATGCATCTCGACTTGCGAAGAAGGAAGCGTGCTTCTCTTAAGTCATACGAGAGCGTAGACTTTGGTAAGGACACATAAGCTTTGAGACTGAATTCCCACCTTGGGTATGAGAACTAGAAGGTAAATTTGGGTTCAGAAATACAGTGCGGAATTTATGCGTGTTCACCCTGAAAACGCACTGGTGAACATGGCTCGGTGAGATACGAGGCCTGCCAGTCTAGCCAAAGGCAGTATCTGAAATGCGGCAGATCGGTTGTGATATGCAGCGAAGAGTGTAGAACGACCTCATCGAGGTACCAGAGTAAGCTCAGCCTGGCATGCGCACCTCCAGAAGCAACTCTCACTCTGAATTGTTGGTGTACTATCGCGCGAGTAACATGTGCCAGGAAAGCACGCTGCCTTTCGTATGCTGAAACCGTCACTGATAAGCAACGGGGTCCTCAAACGAGCAAGCAGGAAGGACCCCTGGAATATAACAGAGTTCTCGCGTGGGCATGGAGGCTCGGAAGGCCAAGGCATCGTGCCTTTGCCGCATTCGGTCCCGCCGCGTCGTAGTTAGCAGTCCGCGGTATTGGAATGATGAAGTCGGTAAGGATTGTGGGGAGCCAAGGGACAGCATCGACGGGACGAAGACTTGAGGCCACAGGCGAAGCAGGGAGGCCAGATGTGGCGCGAATGACAAAAAGCAGTTGTCTCTTCCGAATATGCCGGCCCTTGATCTGCGAATATTATGAGTGCGGATATGGCGCATGGTGTGTGATGGATGGATCGGAAGTCTGAGGATATTGCACGGCTCCTATAAGAGGCAGAAGCCGAGCTATGGACGCCAGGGGGGTTTAGCATTTGTCTTATCGACCTTCCGCCCCCAGGGTATAGGGACCTGGTCGAGAGAGCACATTCTCACGTGGAACGACGATCGATTTATTCTTGTGCACCTTTCGGTCAATCAGAAGGGAAGAACTCAACCATGGCGTTGCTCTGTAAGCCCGGATTTGGTGCCACCACCACATTGAACAAAGAGTTCGTTCCCCGTGTCTGTGTAGGCTCGAGGCATCAGTCTGTCGTGGGCTTCCGCTTGCGCCCATTCAGCAATGCGCGATTGTGCGTGAGGGCCACGCAGAGCACTAGCGTAAGCACCGGGTGAGTGTGCAAGCTTCTCCCTCCTCCTGGTTCGCGTCTTCGTCACGGAGCGCGGTTCAGAGTCTGTAGAGGGTGTCTTTTCATTGGAGTGGGCCGCGTCGACCGGATTGGTCGATCAAGTGATATACCTGTACAAGACGGGATAATCCCACGGAATTTCCAAGATTCCATAGCGGTGTCGCTTTAGGCTTTTACGTCAGCCCGCCACTGCTCTAGTCCATTCGAATTGTGGCTCGAAATCAGAGGCGGAGGGTTCGCCATGACGATACCCTCCGAATTCTATCTCATGCGATGCGATGGGCATTCGTTGTGTTTCTGTAGTGTTTGCAGTCTTGAAATTCGAGGTGGTTTCCATTGTTTGGTGTGCTTGATCCCGTGGGTTCGATCGTTGGGGTGAGCACTTGTCGTCAAACTTGCATCCTGTCCTGAGACTTGGCTCTGGTTTCGTACGATGGCCAGGATCAGTGGACAATTCGCTATTGCAGGGATCAATGTGGACGCAGGAGAAGGTGGTCTTCCAGTAGTTAAGCTCCACAACAAACAAAAGAGGTAAGCAATTGCGTTAGGCTGAATAGTTTCGCTTTTTGGAGCATTCTGGTCGCAAGACGTGGAAGTTTTGGTTTTCCTGGGAGCGGAAGTGTAGCTCGTTGGAATCTTTTGTGACGGCAAATTCCTCCCATGTGCTAGTGTAATCTTACCATTTGCTGAGTCCTTCATCTGGTCTTCGGTACCATATGCCTGCATGTAGTAAGATAAGATCCTGCGATACTTTTACTGCACATGGTCTAAATCCGACTTGTGGGCTTACTCAACTCTTTTTGCAGTGAATGTCAAATCTATCTTCATGGAGGTGTAATCACGTCGTGGAAGTCAAAGGGCAAGGAATTGCTGCATGTTAGGCCTGATGCCGTGTTTGACGGCGTGAAGCCCATCAGGTCTGCAGACCTTTACCCTTCTGCAGCATCTTATTTTAGCGAATTTTCCAGATTTTCTTGCTTGTTCATATGGACATACCCGGTTGAATGTAATCCTTTTAGCAGTTTCTCAGAGTCTACATTTACAAATTTTGCTGCAACTGTGTGATGTGCAACAGGAGTAGCGTCAAGTGTTAAAAACGTCTGGCTCCGTATCTCTTGATTTCTCTTTCTTCCGGTTCTTCTTATTGATATTTTCGTAGTAATTCTGGCCATGCACTGAATGCTCGAGATCATTCTGTGCAGCGGAGGGGTTCCCCATTGTTTTCCCCAATTTGGCCCTGGTGCCATTCAACAGGTACCTTTGCTTCTCTTCTTACATATATTCTTTCATCATGTTTTACCGCAGTCCCAACGCCGATGGATTGACCCTTGGTTGCCTCATACTTAACCTCCTAGTCTGCATTCATGATCAACGTTTATCAACTTTTCCTTGTGAACCTAAAAGCTGCGATTTTTACGTTTCATGGTGTGGTCCTCTGCAGCATGGATTTGCGCGAAACTGCTCGTGGGAAGTGGTTGCCACAAGCAATGAGGATGATACACCTTGTGTGACATTGCGACTTGTGGACAACGAGTACAGCCGGGCTATGTGGAACTTCAAGTTTGTCGTGAAATACTCGGTATTTTCTCACCTTAACCTTATGTTTGTTAACAGTGGTGTGGAAGCTTTCATTTTGTACCCGTAGCGGGTGATTTACACGCACATTAGACTTCAACATTTCTGGGTCTAGATTTTGTTTTCCATATTTCCAATCAGCCAAAGCCATCAAGCCCTTATGTAGTAGTTTTCTTACGCTTTCAACCTGCCTAAGGCCAAATAGATCTAAGTCAAATGGACAACCTCAAGCATCAACCCAGCTCATAGCGCCCTCGATACTGTGTGTGACAGGTGTGGCTGCAAGGCGACAATCTTTGTACTGAAATGATAGTGAAGAACGTGGATGAAAAACCATTTTCTTTTACGACTGCTCTTCACACATATTTCAAGGTAAGCACATGTTCGTCAGTATGTTGCCAAAAAATTGTATTTGCTTATTTCAAGAGTATGTTGTAAGAGCTTCGTGCACTCGGGTACTTGCGCTTCATGTTTTCACTACGTAGTATTTTTAACTGAACGGAGTCATTTGGGAATTCTAGGCAGATATCAAGGGAGTCACCGTTACAGGCTTGAATGGATTGAAATGTTTCGATAAGGATCCAGTCACAAAAGAACCCGTACAGTCATCCGAGGACAGGTTGGTATTGCAACTACCTTTCTCGAAGAACTTCAGTCGATGATTTCTTTGTAGGGCAAATGAACTCACGTGAAGTACATTTCTGTTGATCAGTGTGTAAAGTTTTTTAGTTTCAAATTTGCAGACAAGCTGCATTAGGCCTTGCTAGAGCTGAAATGCGTTGTGCATTGCCTGCAATCTTGTCCAATTATTATATTTGATTCCTCCTCTTGCTTACAAATGCAGAGATGAGGTTACATTCCCAGAGTTTGTTGACCGTATATACAAAGACGCACCAAGCCGGGTGGTTCTGAGAAATGGACTTGGTGACACACTCTCTCTAGAGAATGAGGGGTAACTAGCCGAAATGCTGTCAACCTGATCGTTTTGTTCTTTGCTTTCAATAGTCTTTCAGAACTTGCCATCTACAGCTGGGTATTTCATCTGTCGGAAGTCGTACCATTCGTGGCCTGCAGGTCTTATTGAAAGTACAAACAATCCTCTAGCGGATTCCATTTTCTATTCTCTGTGTTTCCATCTTCTCGAGACCGAACTTCTTGATTCATCCTGCGTGTCTGGTCTGATGTGGGCTGGATTTGAAGTGAATGGTATTTTACGTGCTTTGTGTCTAATCAGTCGTTTCGTTGATGCAGATGGTCTGATGCCGTTCTTTGGAACCCGTACATGACCATGAAGTTATATTACAAAGATTTCGTTTGCGTAGAGAATGCAAAGGTGTGTATCGCAGAACCTTTTTACTCTTTGTGTGAACATCTGGAATGGGCTTTTGGATGGACGAGACTTTTGATACACCTCAAAGAGGAATTTCATTGTCCTTCGTTTTGGATGAATATATGAAGAAGCAAATTAACCTTTAATTTATTATCATAATTGCATGAAGGACTGCCACTCATCCTGTGTTCCCTTGTTTGTATTAGTTGGACCCTGTGACGTTGCAACCACGCGATTCGTGGACAGCGAAGCTGACCATCAGCCCTCTTTCCGAGTAGTCTGTAAGAATGTTACTACCGGCATCGTACATATTTTGATTCTGTACCTCATGCGAACATTGATGGACCATCTCTACTTTGCTTACATTGAGACAATAGATTCCCGGAACAACAGAGGTCATTTGAAATTTAGCTTACAATCTCACGTGAGTTGATGAGGTATCAGAATGAAGTTGAGATGATTCTAATATGTCATTTCAAGAATCCAAGAGCATGGGATCTAGAAGCACCCCAAGCTGAAGAGTGTAGAATAATTTGTGAGGCACATCATTTTATCGAAGACCGCACATCTTTCCGGCTTTTCCTCGTCACAATTCCAACAAAGCGTAATCAGATACACTCAATTTGGATTTCATATTTTATTGTCTACTGAATTGTGATGATATAAGCATCATCACAACTGCTGCGTGATATGTTTCGAAGAAACCAATTTAACGTGAATATTGATCAGAACGGATGTGGTTCCAAGTTTTATCGTTGGAAAGCAGCAAACTGTCACTTTTTCGATTACTTTGTCAAATACTGTTAAGTCGTAATTAATACCAATGACATGTTCCTGATAACTAGTAATAATCACAAATTTCGATGTGAGGGAGGATCTACATATAACGTGGAGATATACACAATACAATATCAATCTATGTAGTAAGTTTCAAATTATTCATCCCATCTAGTTTGAAGTGTCCGTTGTTGCCATGCAATATGTTTGAGACTAATGTCAATGTCAATATATTTAATTGCAAATTGATACACCATTGGTATTTTGATAATCGCAAAATAGTTATCTGTGTGAATATCTAGCATACTAAATACTCACATTGCATCATCATAGGTTTCGATTTCAAATTCTTACATTTGTCCAATGATCAACTCAACTATATCCATGTCAATATTATATAGGTAATATAGTCAGTATCATTGTCCAAATGTGAAGTTTTACTCAATGAAGAGTAAATCAATTTACTTTCTTTAGAAAGTGTTTGATACTCTTCCTAGCTAATTGGGTATTTGTTTTTGAGATAAATGCCTCACTTCTTTCCAAACGTTTTCTATGATTTTGTTTTTTGACGTGCTGTAACTATTTTGCTCTATTGAGCAATTGCAATAAACCAATTCGTTTTGAAATCTAAAGATCATATTCTTGTCGATGCGACTAATTGAAAGATCACATCAACATGACATCATCATTTTGTTATTCAACCATTTGAAAATTTTTCTATTTGAAACTATTCTAAATACAATTTTGAGATTAATGATTTGAAAGTAAAGATATTAAACTCTTATTTCTAGAATGACTACTATAAATCATAGTACTTCTATAGTCATATATAAAACCGCAGTCTGAGCGGTGATCACTTACCTTGCGGTGCCTCCTGCTTTCACACCATTAATGCTCTGCTCACCTCCATGAGACGCATCTACAGCAAACACGTGGCCACTCGAAGGGAATTGCATCCTTTCTACAGATATGCCGAGAGTATGGGAGTGGGAGCGGGAGCGAAGAAAATTTGCGCAAGCAGAGGACACACATTTCGGGAGGTTGTCTACTCATCCGGGTTCCCACCGATCAGGGTCTTCTTTTGGCATGAATGATGAGGTCGATGATGAGTACGCGGCAAGGAAGAAGTAAGCAAGATAATGACAAACTTGAGAATCTGGCTGGACAACGGAACCGTCATGAACCCCGGATTTTCTCGCCTGCATTCTCTACGTTCCTCCTCGACATTCATGGCTGAAAGCTGAAGATCGAGTAAATGTGAAGAGTGCCTAGTTGCAATCTTCCTCCTACTGACCAAGTTCTCGATTTGATCACGAGGAGTTCGTTTGGTATAGGTCAACTACGAGCTCAGATTAACGGACGGACAGTAATCTGAGTCTTTGAGGAAGTTAGTCCGCTGTTCGATTCCGGACAAACAACGTGCTACACAATGTCTCCTACAGCCTGTGCAAATTACTGTAACCTTGACTACTATGGCCCCCAAAAAGTTCACTTTAATACATGGTGGTGCAAAGTGCAGAGATATTACAATATTCCGCTCTTATCGACACTGCAATTGCACATTACGTAAGATCCAAATTAATTATCCAACTGATCGAAACATATTTATCGCGTTTTACACAATATATGATATATTATATTTACTTGTATTGATTGATTTAGAATGTATGTAAATAATTACTTGAGATAAACTTACGTTCGTGAATAAAATATGCTATAATACAAATACTTTCCATTGATAATACCAAAAGACAGTAGCACACTATGAATTAAATGTAACATCAAAATTTTAGTCTCAATCCTTCAAATTTAACCTAATGTTAAAAGTCAAAATTGAATGAATTTTATTGAACTTAAAATTCATTATTAATTAAATTGAAAAATAATTATATAAATATATTGAACACTATCAAACGATATAGACATTATTGACTTATTTGTTGCTATTGATAAGAGTTCTATATTCTGATATTATATAATTAAGGTAATTTTTTCATAATACATCAAATAATCATACATTGAACATGATAACTCTTTTCTTAATCCTTGTTTCTAAGTCAATGAAATTAAACACATGTTATAATAGATTATGTCGATTAAGTTATGCTTCTACATTACTTTTGAAAGTTGATTTGTAAATATTACATCTACTTATGACATTTATCTAGACGACACAATATATAATTATCCATGGATTGCATTCGAATAGAAAAATAAAGTAAGTACGTCAATTCATATCGCAATATAATTTTCAAGAAACTGCATTAAATTTATAGGCACAATTTTTTCTGTTACTACAAATAAAAATTATAAAAATTATTCTGTTCTTCATTGCAAACACATTGATGTGAAAAACGTCTGATCTAAATTCAAAATTCTCTTAGAGGATTCAATGATGCACCACCACCATATATCTTTCATATCTAATTGGCTATACAAATGCAATCTGATAATGTCACAAACAAATCTACAAAATGAACAGATGTTGTTACTACATCTAAAGCGTCTTGATGAATGTTACAATGTTGGATCAAACAAGATTTAACATCGATCAAGAGGCCAAGTATCTTTTATCTGCCATATTGATTATTTGGTGAGTTTTAAATGACTTGATAATCTACTTAATTCAATACTGATATCAGCATTTTCTTAACGATAGATCTGATGTATCATGTAAAAATCTATGCTTGTTCTACTTGGTCTGAATATGTATTAAAGAGTGAGGTAATTCCCTAGTAGATCCATTCCTACATGGAATGGATTGCTAGGATACAGATGAGAGTACAAGTTATTGATAAGTCTGCAGCTAAACCTCATAAACTGACGCCTAGAGAAGGGAATCTCGCTTCGTTACAACCCGTTTGATCTACTGCCATTCCAAGAACTTGTGAGGTTCATGCAAATCACTGATTTTGTGGGAGTCTATGTTTCCTAAATTTGTCGGTTTATGAAGAATGTAAGTCAATAAGTGAGAAGAGTAAATGGGAAATATTTAAAAAAATTACCTACTTGATGAATGAAGAGGAACTCTGGTTTGTGTGGAAAATCAAGTAAGGTGAAGGCGCACACAAAAACAAGAGGAGGAGATGGCACTGAGGTCCAAAATCCGAAAGGCATGAACAAGAACAATCCAAGCAAAAGTTTGTAATGAAATGGATGAAAATTGCCAATAAATATAAATAAACCCAACTGTTTGTTGAAGACCTAATCCAGTAGCGCATTTTTGTACAAGAGTTGACATTAGGGGCCATTGATTATTGTGTGGAGAAGTAGTGGGTGATTCTACTAGTGGTGATTTTGGTGTGTCTATAGTGAGATGAAGTGCTCTATGGAGACTGAGCTCGAATATATCCAATGCACTCAATTCAAAATACTTTTCTCATTACACAATGAAATCACACAATTGAAGAATGCAACTAAGAATTACAATTGGTGGCCGAAACCTCGTCACGGCATTCATAGTAAAAGTCATATATATATATATATATATATATACACTTTCTTTCCAAAATTGGGCATGAATTTGGACCATAAGATTCTACATAATATTGGCATCTCTTTTCCCCGGTACTGGTGCTTCAAACCATTTATTGACTTTGGCATCTTATGGTCTCGAATCAGTCACCGTTTATTTACGAAGACAACGTTGTGTTCATGATCGCCGTACCATAAAGGACACAAGAGAGTCTTCGTGATTTTCGGCGTGATACCGGTTCAAATCATTGACTAGTTAATATTCCTGTTGACTGTGTTCCGATATTGTCTATGAAAGGTCTTCGTCTTCATCTTTGCCAAAGTCTTCGAATTTGTCTTTGCCTGCTTCTTTTATACTAGTCAGAATAGTCGTTTGGAGATCATGTAAGCGGGTTGCATATGAAGAGCACGTCTCATAAACACTGCCCTGCATCTCGATGCATGCACCTCGTGAACTTAGGCTCACCGCAGACATGCTTGCGACACAGACACTATTTTACAAATACCTTCAGTGACATTTATTGCATTTTGTATATTTTGTGGACTGTTTCTCGATCTGGATTGTGAGATTCTGCTGTCCTGGTGCATGGCTGCTTGAATTGCTGCTGCTGTACTATTTGCCCGATCACCTGTAAGAACAAGTCAAATAACTAAATATCACAATCTTCATCATAAAATGAGCAGCCAACTTCGCCTCAAATGTTGTGCTTCTCCAGATTGCTCGGCTGTGGACTAAGATGCAGACGTTTGCTAGCACACATATTGTGCGGAAAAAAATGTCACGATTTTCGGTATGGCGGAGACATTTGTGACTTAACTTCATCTCTCAGTACAAGCTATTGCTGAGTCTGCAGCTAAAATTCATCGACTGATTCGCAGAGTAGAGGATGTCGCTTCGTTACAACCCGTTTGATAAAATGTCATTTCGAGGGCAGCAGTTCAAGCGTTAGCGTACAGAACTTCAAAGCTCGTTGTTGTCGGGCTCTGGATGACCAAGCTGCATCTACTCATCTCTGTAGAAGTGGGTTGTGAATAAATTCCTGAGCTGGAATGATCTCAAAACACATTGCCTTCATAAAACATTGCTAAACATTTCGAGCTCGTAGGTCGAAATGCCTTTTAGTGTACAGCCTTGCTCATATTTGAGTAGCTTAGCTTGAAAAACGTGAAACAAGCTTCGTAGATAAGCTTCAGTCCTGAAATATCCTTACCTCATACTCATGCCGTCCTCTACGACTCGGATCGACTAGGGGATCTACGAAATTGAAAATATGGCCGAACTCTATGGTTGATTTCGGAACAGGTTACGCTGTGTATCGCTAGTAACTCATACGTTCTG